TAAAAATAATTATAAGTTATAAAATTAAAACTATTCATATTATATTTTATCTTGTTTATAATTATTAATAAAATAATTTTATATTTTTACTTATTTTTGAAAAAGATAAAGTATTAGTAATCAATTTAGTAAATAATTTCTAATTTCAATATAGAATAAATAATTTTAATAAAGAAAGTGATAACTTATAAGATATATTAATAATTAATCTTGTTAAAGAAAAGAGCTTGAATATTATTAACTTATCAATAACTGTAAGATATAATATAATTAATGAAAAATAAGAAAAGATTACTTCTTATAAAAAATTATAGAAACTACATTTATCTTATACAAATAAGAAATAGATAATAATCACTTTGTAAATATCTTTGACAGCTTGTTGAAACCAGTAGTAAAAGTGATTAATAAGTGTTAGAAGATATTACAAATTCATAATTAACAAGGAACTGAAAAATCAAAAGAAAAAAAATTTGCATTTTGATTATATTAATTCTAGAAAAAAAGAAAATTAAAAATTATTTAGCATGTTATAATATTATAGTAAAGCTAATAATAAAGCTATTATTTTCTTGACTTGGCTAATTAAAGATCTGCAAAGTGTGTTATTATTTTGATATCAGTTATAATAATGTGATGTAGCCGAGTGCTGGATATTGGTCGGAAAATCACGTGATCGATACTTTTTTTGCTGTGGCTAGAATACTAGATGTAATCACGATAAACTTTTTTTTTAAGTATATCTCAATTACATCACAACTATTTGGCTATCAATTTTTTTCTGATGTGGACCAATGATCAACTCCGCTTATTAATCGACCAAAGAAAAAACCGAAATGCGAAGTATTATAACATTCCCGATAGTAGTAGGGTGGATTTTTGGAATAATAATATTACGAATATAATTAATGAGAGATTTAGTACCAACTATACAGAATATTAAGATTTTAAAATCTTGTAAGGAAAATTTTCCGTTAGTCTTCACGTCTACCACATGACATCGCTCCCCAAGAGCTCAACCTCACATGACATCGATTGTTGCACTTCAAATTTAACATCACATATGAAATGACCACGTGATGGTGGAATTCTGAGATCGAGCCATTCTCGAAGTTTGGCACTTTTTTTATGTCTATCAATCTGTATACATTCTCATTACTTTTTTGATCGTAAAAGTTGTTACAAGTTCCTCAACCGGTGTCATGTCTAATCTTCCAACAGTTGAACATGTGAAGGCATGGAGTCGAGGGGACGTTAAAGCATTTTTGCAAAACAACAAAACTGGATTAGACCTTGAAGACGGAGATATCAATAAACTACATGATCAGAGGGTTAAGGGTGACACTTTCCTTGCACTAAAGTATGAAATGCTTGTAAATCCACCTTTGGGTATTCCAGTCGGACCAGCCGTAAAATTAGTAGAGTTTATTAATAAAATTCACGGAGGTAAGCGAACTTCATTCTCGCTCACACCGTGTCATATTCGCGAATATTTACTTATTCTTGTGCTTTTCTTTCCTGCTTCTTATCGTAAAAAACTACCCAAAAAACACATTTACGTTATCGTAGAGTCAACCGTTACCACCGGTAAGTGAGTCGTAATAAATTTAGTCGATGGAATGAACGCGTCTTGGCTTGATTTTCGATATCCGTTACTTCATTTTCGTTACATTACTAATTTTCTGATATATTGTATAGAATCCCCTAATAAACGAAGAAAATACGATAACGATGATGAAAAACTGGGAAGGTTTTGGAATGCTTTGAAGGATGGGAAAGTTGAGAAGCATGATGGTGGCCAGTTCCTTGAGTTATCCAGGGACG